GATGATTTTTCAAGGCTTATAACTATGAGCCCTAACATAATATAAAGACAAAAAAGCTTATCTGAATGTGCCACAATGCACCACATCACGTTACTGCAAAAGTGCCTAGCACCAACAAATTTTCACTAATTAACATCAAATTGACCAATTAGATTATGAGATCATGTGTAATATGTGTTTTTTAAAAAAACCGCCTGTAACTCTCTTCTGTACACTAGTAAAAAAAATTCTTTGCAAAATTTTAATATAAGACAAGCCTCACTATAATTGTAAACCTGACTATAATGTAGTGTTTTATAACTTTAAAAAATTGCATATCTTCATTGTTTTGATTGTCGATTAGTGAAAATCAGTTGGTAATTGGATTGATATTAACGAGGAACGACTGTTTAAAATCATTTTAATTATTTTGAAATTATTTCCGATTATTTATATATTTTACTGTATAAAATATCTGCTTTTCTGCCTTTTGGATACCAGCCAGACCTCATCTTAATTGTACCAAGTTATTTTTTGTAAACCTGAGTAGCCAATTCAATAATTTTTTTTCTGATACTTTTTTCACACTGCCATTCAATATAAATTAAATTTGTTATTAAACGAAATGTAAAATACCAAGTACCTATAGTACTCATATCGGCGGATTTGCACAGTCTAATAAATATAAGAACCCATCAGTTATAATTCCAGTCAAAATTGTCGATCACTTGACCAGAACTAGAACAACTGGAATTAAATAATTTAAAATTTGGCCAAATGATCGACAATTTTGACCAGAATTGTAACTGATGGGTTTCTATATTTATTAGACTGCGCCGATCCGCCGATATGTATATTGCATTACAGTACTATAATTATAATAAATCGTAATTGAAAGATTTATTGATATTTATAAAGCAATTAATAAGTAATGTATAACAAAATCGAAATATGCATATTTGCAACAATAATATAAATATGATTATCAGCATTGGATTATTCAGAAGGAAAATAATTCCAAACCTACCTAAAAAACATCTTGAATCCAAATCTCCGCCACTATATAGTCCGAATCTCAATCGGCAACGAACATTAAGCAAAACTTAATAGAGCATGAAAAAAGAAAATCAAGAAACTGTTGACAAATTCGTTTGTTAGAGTATTGGTCTAACTTTCTAGTAACGTATTTTTTTTTTTGTAGCTATTATTTCCAGCTCGTGTTTAGGTACGCATTGACGCAAATCAAAGATTGATTTTTTGGAAGGTATACCCTACCTGAATATGTTCCAGTAGGAATTTTTTTTCATGCTTTTTTGCAAAAAATTTTTTTAATAAAAACAAAAAAACCTGCAATTACTTTCCAAGAAATTTGATAGCACACAAGTGTCTCTCAAATACAAAACTATTTGGTCTATAAAATAGCATGCTGTGCATATATTATTGATCTGATTTTGTAATAATCATCGGATAATGATCCTTCCAAAATTAATTGCCCGTTCGGAGTCTAAACGTATGAAATAACAGGAAAATAAAATTTAGTTTATATTCATGGAAAATAAAATTTTAAAAGGTACATCTACCTTTCGGACAGCAACTTTTTCATTACACACTAGTACTCCTTCATCTTTAAATTCTGCTGTTATGCCTTCTGACTGCAATACGCGTTTCAATTCTGTTAGCTTAACTTCACCAACAAAGACGGGATTATGAGTCCCAGAACTTAGTTCTTCTATTGGCACCACATCCAATACTGGTAAAGAAGAATCAGGTGGAAAGGATATTTTTCCGTTTACAAATGCAATATCATAATCTTCAAGCTAATTGTTTGAATGACACCATAAGTTCAGGAACAGAAGATGGTAAGACTTAGACAGTTAAATGTTAAAAGAATTACCTTTGAAAGTTTTAAGGAGCTAACTAAAGCATCGGTTAATTTAACCTGATAAAAATTTATAGCAGCTGATACATTTAAAACTTCTCCAACATCAGGTGTGTAAATATCTCGCGTCATTGATCTTATCGCCAGACAACTTTGGGCAAAATCATTAGTTGCTTCTGGTGACGCATGGACTACAATCTTATAAGAACGGTTAAAACATTTTAATATCATGAAATACTCTTTAAATAGGCGACAAATTTATAAATTTATAAAATGTTTAAGCTAACCAACTTTCTAGGCTGAACCTGAGGCACAATAGTTTTGAGAGATCTACCATCATTTGTTCCTTCTAAATCAATAAATCTCACTTGGCATTTAAATTTAATTTCATGTTCATAAGATACGTATTTTGTTGGAACATTTGACTCCGGAAAAAATATTCGTCGAATCTTCTTTGTCGAACTAATAAAGCCAAAAATTTTATGATCCTTCAGAAAACATTTGAAAATTTAAGTTTCCAAAATAGCGCAAGCAAAGCACGTAATCCTTACTTCATCTTTATCACTACTCATATCAACTTTATCTCCATTGACATCAATATTTCCTGCATTTTCATCTCCAATTCCCCTAGCGAACTGATCCACTTGTATAATTTCTCCGTAATCATCATATCTTTTTCTTTTTTCAACATAAGGAAACATTAAATAGCTCTGAGTCTGTTTAAAGAATCCTCCGTATTTCGTCGCATCACGTACATAAAGATCAAAATGCTTGGACAGTAACTCTTCTATATCTGTATCTCCTATCTCAGATTCTGATTCATCTGATTCATCATCCTCTATTATTGATAAACTTTTTGCAATCAAAGCTGCTTGTGCTGCTTCACGTTCTTGCCTTTTACGAAGCTCAGACTTATATTCTGATAATTCTGTTCCTTCAAGAGGCACCTTCTTCTTTATCTATATTAATAGTTAATAACGTGGTAAAAAATTTAAATTGTTTATCATAGCTTCGAGGACGTAAAGTTTGACATACCAAAAGATTCATTGTCAAATTTAAATTAACAGAAGGCTTAACAGGCCCATCATTCGACTGACTAAGCCTATCCCATTCATTATATAATTTTCTTGCCAACGAATTAGGTGATCCCCTATCAGTCAATATGAGAGCATTTGATTCAGATATTCCCCATTCAAGTAAAAGATCTCGTGCATATCCTGTATCCAAACTAGAGTTACTTGCAAGGACAACTTTAGGTCCTGGATATTTGGAAAGTTCTTTATACCTATGACACAAACGCAAATACCTAAATAGCGCGTATAATATTAGATTGTCATTATTAACTATATAAACGTTGATGGCTTATTGTATAAATTCATATTTTAAAGGCTTAAATGATATTTTAAATAATTATGAATTGATATTCCAGCGAACCTAAATTCAAATGGGTTTTCTCTTTTGTTATCAAATTGTCTATTGATAGCATCACTCATCCATTCAAGCATACTCTTGGCGAATTGTATTGTTCGATAACTTTGGTGAGTTAACAAGATAAGTGGATATGAAAATTGATTAGATGCCCAATGTAGATCCAAAAGATATGCTAATTCCAAGACACGAGCCGATGAATCTGTAGGTAACAAGACAGATCCCTTATTTTTCATTGTATTAGTAATGGTATCTGCAAAATATAATTCACATTAAAATCGGATTTGAAAATTTTGTTTAAAGAATACACTGAAATATTCCGGGTTTAATACCAAATAAGGCAATGTCACGATTTCTCCTTGCAGGATGAATGATTAAAGAGTTGTATGCATCTGTGATCATTAAAGAAGGCCTACTTAACGCATCTAAAACAACCCCATTATTATGTAATACTGTCCCGTCTAAGTGCCTACATAAAAGAATTCACATATGAATAAAAAATTTTAAGGTAAAATAAAATAAGAATCACCATACAACCTTTCTTTTTTATGATTATAATCTACGGCGTATACAATCTCTTCAGTATCTTTTTTTGATCTTCCATATTGTGCCACCTATAGTATGTCCCGCAGCATATGCAGTGATAGTAATGCCTTTACACTTCCCTAACGTAAAAAATGAACAGATTAGTTCAAAATAAAACATACAAAATATAAAATTTTGCCTAACCCATATTTACCTCCCAACACCATTGGCTGTGAATATTTTAATGTATTCACTTTTTCAAATGCAGCATCGACATTATCCAATGCAAAAGTGTCAAATTTAGCTTCATTCACCTTTGATTGAAAAATATCATACATGCACATCCGTCCCATGTGAACTACCGGTACTGTCGCGTACACAGGACACGAAAGCCCAAAATGTCCATATGCATAGGGATAAGCTCCCAAGTGTGAAAGATCAGGATGCGAGAGAAGAAGTGCGTCAACCTGCTTAGCGACTCTAATTTTTTTTCCGTTAACCTCAAGTTAGCATCTTTGAAGACAAAAGTGATTACTTACGTGATTTGCTAATCAGTTCACGTTACTCTTTGAAAAAGCACAATTTCCTACCTTCTCAAATGTTTTAAATCTTCTACATTAAATTCATCATTCCACCCGCAATCTAACATTATTCGAACTTCATCGTCTACTTCTAAAAGATAACATAATGCATCTTCATTTTTAGCACCAGATATAACAGTAAATACGATCATAGTTCAATGTTAAAACCGCAGTCAAATCAATTTCATTTATATATTTTATGTTAATGTCAAATGTCGATCTTTCTCACGTGAAAATCATACAAGCAGTGATGTAAATTGGTCCGCGCAGTAGACGCAGCGTAAATTTGCGCATATATCAGCGCTCTCCGTATATATAAAGCGCGTATAGATTTCTTTTTTGTATGCATTTTTTTTTGTGTTTGCGTCAATAAGAATTTTTTGAATTTATAACACTGCATACAAGTTAACTTATTATTAGTAAAGGAAAAACCCTTCAATTTTTCGAGTGGTAGGTTTTATTAAGTATTTAAACGTAAAATTCTTTACAGTTCTTGTTACTATACATATTTTTTTCATTCTTATGAAAATAATATCAAATATCTTATTTGAAACAAATCATTAACCAATCGCCAGATGAGTTAATAATATGAATAATCTCCAAAAAGGAAGAAAAGCTTTAATAATAGATCAAAATTGTTTTTTTTTTTCTTTTTTCTTTTTTTTTTTGTTAAATCTCTATATAAAAACCCAATTTATAAACATTTACCAAATTTTCAGAAAGAAAATAGAGATAATAAAAATGCATAAAATGTATATCACCGAAAATGTATAGGACATTCACCACCTCTATCAAACCATCCCTGTATACAATGATAATGATATGAACATAAACAGTTCAGACGCGTTACGGTTTCGCCTATTTTTTTCATTAACAAGAGATAAGTAATTTTGTGTAAATGTAATTTGTTAAATGAGTATAAAAAGCAAAAGTAAAAATGGATCGAATGATATTTAAACATATGACAAGTTTTAGAGTGTCCTTACCGGCAAGAAATTCTTCGAAGCAGATGGGACATTCTTGGCCGACGAGGAAGTTATTTTGAAGGAGTTTATATACTGTAATAACAAAAGAGAGTTCCGATTTTGTCGTGGAATAGTGGTGATAGGGGAAAGTTTGGTGGGAATGATACCAACACATAGGAAATAAGACAGAAACCGCGAATAAGTTATAATAATGTTTCGCCAACAATTTATGATAGGGCCTTTATTAGTTCTTTCTTTCTACCCTGCTTTTTTCGTTTTGCTCAAACTACTAAATCAACTGCTCACCCACATATTTATAACCGCTAACGCTATTTCCATTCTTGTTTTCTAAACAGTTCCGGACGTGTTCTTCTTGGGCAGGTTTTCCTCCAACTTTGCTTAACGATATGCTACAAGCAGGGCATTCAGTCATGGTTGAACTATTACTCATACGTCTGCTGTTACTAACAGATGATGCACCTCCGGTCAATGTAGTTGATGTGAAGCTATTCGACCGTGGGCGTATAGTAGGGCCCATTGAAGTATAACACGCACTACACACGCGATGGGACTGAGAAGTTTGGCTGGCTTCACCATTTCCAGAGGGATTATAGAGAACCTGTTGAGGTGGCAAATGAACTCGTGCACTGGAACATTTAGCGCACACTACTTGTCCGCATCGCCTAATTTTTGTGCGCATTTATTAAATAAATTTAAACATCTTAAAGTTAACCATATCTTTATATAATGATTATAATGCTTAATACAGACCTGCAATGATGTTTTCTAACAAACATACTAAACCTAACTTTACAACGGCGACACTCATTTACATCTTCATCATTTTCCCACTTATAACCCGTAGATATAGAATGTCCAGGGACATTCGTCATGTTGACACTTGTTTGAGGATGTACTCTGGTGGGGGACACAATTTGGTTCTCATAAATCGATGGTTGAGTAATACCGACATCTTCACTTTGAACAGCATTGTTCCAAGGATTCTCGATCGTCTCAAAGCTTGCAGTTGATGGTGCTCTAAGATTAGTAATTATACCCGTATCAGTTATTTTCGGGGACTTTGGTAATATATCTGACCGAAATGGTGTTGGAGTTGGGGACGGAGACTTTGACAAATTTGGAGTTATTGGAACATCATGGAGACTTGGACTTCGTGGAGGAGCATCAATTCCCATTCCCTTTACCATATTCTCTAAATATTCTGCATGTTGCATAAAGCTTCTAACTAGAGATATGGCTTCTTGTTTTCGTTGTACATTTTGATCGGCTATAAAATTGAAATAAATTTATTATTATAATGATAAATTTATATTAACTAGAATATAAGAAATAAAATTATGAATACTTTTAATTCCTGATGATAAAATTTCAATCGCTTCTTTATACCTTGCAAGCTGGTCAGAGTATGAAAGGTCAACGGCCTTTCCTTTACTATTATTATCAGAATTTTTTTTAACAATAGATTCAGCCTTTTCAATATAATCCGGAGGATCGTTTTCACTACTTGAAACAAGCTGTAATCCACTTTCAGTGATATCCACACGACGTTTCATAACACGCACCCATCTCCTCCTTCGGACCCAACCACTACTGTTTGATTGTGGCGATGCAGTCCAAATTACGTCAGGATCATCAAAGTTTTTAGAGTATTGCCACCCTTGTGCGTCTACACGTGGATGAGTAAGATCAATTTGCCAATCTGTGACCCAAAACCAAGGTCTCTGAGAAGGCTTTGATGAAGTTGTATTTGAAAGAATCGAAATAGATGATGATATCCCCGTTGGAAGTTGAACACTTTCCTTAGATTGAGGTTTCCCACTAGGATGGTGGGACCAAGGACCACGAACATCACTTTTCAAGAGACTATTAGCCGAATATTTTGAAGGGCCACGAATAGATAGACCAAAAGATGCTGATGATCGTTGATTTTCATGAAGAACAACGGGTACTGTAATGTGAAATGAATAAAGATCATATGGTTGACTCGTATCTGGTATATGCATTAGGTCGTTTAAGGAGGACGCTGTAGGAAATAAACATTAATAAAAATAAATAAATAAAATAGAGCCATGTAACTATTTCTTAAAAATCTACCTTCTGGCACTGGTTTTTTACCCTTCCACCATTCACGTTCAGCTTTTTCTAGCAATTCACAAATATATACTTCTTGAGAGGTAGCAGCCGCATCATATGCGGTTTCTCCAAAACTATTTTTAATAAGTGGATTTGCATTACCACGATCTAACAGATATTCGACGATATCAACATGCCCCTTTGATGCAGCATTCACTAAAACGGAAAATCATTTGTTAGCACGTGACTTAAAAGAACACGGTTGTCCTTAATGGTGTATAGTTGCTTGCAAAACAATCATCACACATGAAACAATTATTGGCATGTAAATTTACACGCTAAAAGTTGCATGATTATTTAACATCAATTTGTTTCGCTGATAGGCTATACATTGGAGATAATCTAACTCACTTAATGGAGTATGCCCTTTGTTGCTTTTAACATCCACATCGGCATTAGCATTCTCTAATAAATGTTTAACAATCGATAAGTAACCCTGAGCAGAAGCATTATGTAAGGCAGTCCATCCATCGTTATCTTTTTGTTCAACATTGGCAGTCTTTTGCAAAAGCCAATCCACAACAGCAGCATGTCCAGTGTAAGAGGCTTTCAGAAGAGCTGTCTATGAAAACATAATTGATATGAAATATCGAAGAAATAGTTCCGTTATGCTATAATTTTGGACATACCTCACCGGTTTGGTCTTCAAGATCTACAATAGCGCCAGCATCGGCAATTAACCACTGTACGATTTCTAGGTGGCCACGCGAGGCAGCATAATGTAGTGGAGTTAAACCAGAAGATGGGCTTGCTTCGTTAGCAAGTAAGAAAGAGGAAGTAGTTTCACCGGAACCACGAGGATCAAGCAATTCCTTAACTCTAGCCATGTTTCCGGCGGCAGTTGCTTCATGAATAGTCATGTCATTTTCCACAGAACCATCAATGTCATTTCGAGAAGCACGAGAAGTCTGAGTGTTGGTATTAGTGGGGAGTTTTACCTGTTTTTTATGGATATTGCCGTAATAACGGTGATTCTCCCCGGGAATGGGTGGGTGAACAGAATCAGGAATATCTGGAACTCGTAAAGTGGGTGCAAGGGGTGGAGAAGAAACCATAGTGAGAAGTGAAAATCAAAGTGAAAAAAAATATATATACGTATATCGATATTATTTGTAAGTTTTAACGTTAAACGTTAAAATTCCGTATATTTGTTAAAGATGCCATATTATGGTCACAAGTAGTAGTACAAACTTTATCCTTTTGAACTTTGCACATTAGTAAACCCATATTGGGAGTAGTATTGATAAGTAGGAGGCAATAATGGCAACCAAAAAAAACAAGTACCATCTAGATAACAAATCTAAAATCTATTTTAGTAACAAATTGACGAACTGTAACTGGTTTTTTCTGCATAAATTATCTTGTCCTCCACATGTATTCTCCAACTTCTGTTATTTGTATTAAGATTATTAATATTAGAATTAAGCAATTATAGCCATATATTATGCAAAATTTGGTCTTTAACAGTTGTATATCCTCTAAATGTGTTTTGGTTAGATAGTTTGGTTCAAAGAATACTCAAGTTTATTGGGAGAAATTTTGCTTATTCTGCTAATTCGAAAATTTCCGTCGACCAATAAAAATGTGCATGTGTCGGTTCATAGGTCTGATTGGTTAATTTTGTTTTACATCTATCCGTTAAATGGATTTGAGCAACTTTTGCATTTTTAACCGATCTTTGGTCAATGAGTAAAGTTGCGGAAAGCATTTTTTTTATACATAATTATCCCTTAAACAGTCCAGTTTAGCGGGAAAATATTTGAAAGAAAATCAACAAATAAAAAAAAACATTTTTTTTTATATAGATAACTGCGTACCGGATACATATAAATTAATCCAGTAATCATACTAAAAGTTTGTGTCACATAGTGCATTTTACAGCCACGGCATGAAATGTCTAAATGAGCACAAGAGCACAAATTTGGGTCATGTGAAATATTTTGAACATTTGTTATGCTTTTAGAGAATATATTTAGATTGTACCTGGGGTACGTAGAAGCTATCGCTATTGTCTTGTTTTTCAATTTTAGGTTATATAGGGTGAAAATGCTTATTTCGCGAGTGATACAAATCTAAAAATGGATTTGATTTATTTAATTGGTTAACTCAGCTCTGGAATTAGAGTTGTTACCCGGGTTATGCTGACCCGTGCTGGTCAAAAATTTGACTGGTCACAGGTCAAATTTTGATCTAACTCTGGCGGGTTAAAAATCGATGGGTTAAATTTGTATTAATAATATCCTGATTCGTTGGATACGTCAGGGATTATTAATTAATCTTTTCGTGATCTTGATATAGTGATCGGGGTGTTAATTAATTAATTTATATATTAAAACAAACCCGCATTTCGATATGCGCTCGATTACAAGATTATATTTATGTTTTCTGTTTTAAAAACAAAATTACTTGCAATATGAAGATATATACAAAGATATATAATTAGATTACTATTTGAATAAATTTTTTAAAAAACTTTAATCTTAAATAAATTAATCTGTTTAAACAATCTTGTTACCAAAATACTCTCCTCTTTAAAATGATTCTAATGAATCCAAAATCATCTAAATTGAATCACAGGATAATGAGATATTGTATTGTCAAATAATAATGCACCCTCTATGTGAGACCGGTGGGTTTGACATATGTCAAACCCACCAATACTATATAGAGGGTGCATTATTATTTGACAATACAATATCTCATTATCCTGTGATTCAATTTAGATGATTTTGAATTCATTAGAATCATTTTAAAGAGGTGAGTATTTTTGTAACAAAAATTTATTTAGAAATATGCTTTTTGTACACCTGTATAATTATACACCTCTCAGCAACCCACTGTTGGATGTATAAACCAATCACCCACTACTAGGGTTGTTAATAGCTTTTGTGAGATTGACTTTAGCTGCATAATGGAGCTGAACTAATTCAAGCCAATTGAGCTGTAGCTTGAATCATAATCAAGTTATAGTTTAGAGTTATAGCTTGAGCTGTGGCTTAAGCTATGATTCATAATTATTATGTAATTAATCCATGTTTCTAGCAATTAAAACTACAGCTTAAGCCATAACTACTAGAGTCATGTTTGAGCTATAACTCAAGTTATTACTCAAACCACAGTTTTAATAGTTATAGCTCATGATTTTTAGAAGTCAAGCCAAGTCATTCAAGCTGATAACAATCCTACCTACTACTGATTTTTAAAAAAAAAATTTTGATTAGATTATTTTTATTTATTTTTTAAATCTTTGTCAGAAAGTGAGCACAAAACAAACATATAGATGACATTTTTAGTAAGATATTTGGGATCATTTTTTTTTTTTCTTTTTATAATATTTTTTTTTTTTTGTCTTTTTATTAACTGTTTTTTTTAGTTTTTTGGCTTTGCCAAACACTAGATATAGTCATATCCAAGTTATATCTCCACTGGATTATATCTCAATCTGAGTTATATCTTTATATTTAAGAAAACTAAATTTTTTCTTTTTTATATATTTTTATATATTTTATATATTGAGTTATATCCCTACCTTAGTTATATCTTCAAAAATGTTCTGAAAAAAAGGTGTGATATAATTCAGCTACAACTATAAATATTAAGCAGCTTTTTAAGTATTTTTTTTTGCTTTTAGTTTTTGTTTTTGATCATTTATCTTGTTTTATTAAACTTTCTTGTTTTAGACTTTGCCAAATGTAAATCAATATTGGAAAAAAATATATATAGCAATTTTAGATACAGTATACTCTTCCAAAACTAATCTTGTCAAAACTGATAACCTGTTATATCTGATAAAAAATTAATCTATCATATTTGTTTAATAATTCAAACCTGATAATCTGCTTTTTCTGATAACTGATACTTAAAAGATCAGATACCTATAAGATATCAGGTTTATAAATCAATTTAATTAGCTTAGATCGAGCTTTGTTCGACTAAGTAGATAGGATATATAATAAATATAATCTAGTCAATTATATTTATGTAACCAGTAAGCTATTAGTATTTTAAACCTGATAACTTTTCAAAACTAATACAAAAGCTATCCATCATGCCTATTAAATTTGAGAAAATGTATTATATAATATTTTTTTGTTTTGTTGATTTTGTTAGCTTTGTTACTAATATTATTTTTCTTTCTTGAGGTTTTAGATTTTACCAAAGTGATATAGTGACTTGGTATAGTTGATAAGTTATCACACTTCCAAGCAGCAGATCTAAAGTTCGAATTCTATCTATAATGAAATTCAAAAAATATATCTGTATTATGGCAACTGTTTCTGTTACATGAGATTAGACATCTGTAATATGATTGCACCAACTTGTTTGAGAAGTTAAAGGCATCTGTATTATATAGAGAAATGCATATCAGTATTGAGTAGTGCAAATCTAAGATAAGTCTTTTAGCCAAGTATAGAAATCTATATATATAAAAAGCTTGCAGAAACTTGTTTGAGAAGATTTGAGTAAAAAAGTAGTAAAGATCTTTGATAATACTGCAGAAAACCAAAACTGAAGACTGAAGAATCAGATGGAAAGCCCTGAGGCAAAAAGTGCCTACTAATCTGATTGTCAGAATCACATCAGAAGAAAAGGTACTATATTATGGAATTAAAAACCAAGAGAAGTATAACCAGAAGGCACTTAAAGCTGAGGTATAATGATCTATTTAGGCTAATTGATTTGGTAGTTAGAGAGAGATTGGTAATAGAATTAGTTGAATATGATATTAGGATCAGAATAAACTTTGCAAGAGCATGATTATTAGAATTGTGCAGTTTAACGATTAGCCCTGACTGTTAATAGTGATTTCGGCTACTACAGAAGGTATTTGAAAAGTCTAGTCTGAAAATATGTGAGATATAGAAGAATTAGAGAGCATTTGCTATGCCCATCTAAGAAGACTTATGGATAAACAGAATAACCTAGTTTAGATAAAAAGGATAGCAGTGTATACTTCATTATAAAGGTATTTAGTTTAAAATAATTGATGAGTATGTAAATACTAAAATGTAGACCTATATGATCAATAATAAACATTAATAAAGCTTAGTTCCAAAAGACATTTTAACAAAAAAAAAAGATTTTACTAAATTTGAAGCTGCATTTAGCAAACATATATATAGTATTTTAAATAAGATATTTAATTTTTTTTTTTATTTTTTGTTTTTTTTTGTTTTGTTAGTTTTGTTAGCTTTGTTATTAACTTTGTTTTTCTTTTTTTAAACTTTTAAACTTTACTAGATATAAATTAATATTGAAGATGATTCTGAAATTGGATGATGCTAAATTCATGTGATCACATGATAATCTTTTATATAAACACCTAGCATCACTATTGCTGTTAGTGTTAGAATTAGAGTTAGAATATAAAAGATTTTTTTATTTTATATATATTATATTTAATTTTACTAGAGTAATAAAATATAATTATATCTAAATCCTAATTCTAATATTAATAGTAAAATTTTTAGTTGATAATATTAGATTTTATAAGCATCTTAAGTTTGTTTATATAGAAGATTATTATATAATTATGTAAATTTCAGCATCATTTGATTTTTTTTTTTAATCTTTAAAGATAAAGCCATGCTTATATCTTTATTAAAATCTAATTAAACTTCTTTACAAATAATTAAATAAAGAAATTATATTATTTGAACTTTATATCTA